CCAACTTGACAATAGTGATATTGACTTCAAAATTTTCTAAATTTAAAATCGCCGAATCGGAAATTGAAATACAGTTATAATTTTACACCTTGCTACGAGTATCGTTCAATTGCAGAAAGCATTGTGGTTGATTGGGTTTATTTTCGGATGTTGGCGCGTTTGCTCTTGTTTTCATCCCGTCGGCGTTCTTCATGCGTGCGCGCGCCTTATAATTTCGTAGCCGATATTAAAAAGTTTATTGGTTTTATCCGGCGCCGTACGCGTCCGGCACACGCACACCGCGTGTACGTGCGACCAGGTAATATAAATCAATGAGAACCGGACTAAACGCATTTTTACAGGCACGTATCAATACCAACTTCAACCAATTAGCGCAAAAATAAAGCTTAAAAGCTAAAGTTTAAGAAAAAATCATAATTTCTTCACAAAATTTTAAATTAAAAAAATTTCTCCAAGAGTTTTTAAAATATTTGATGCCATGTCTGTAAATTTAAAATCACAGAGCTAAAATCAGAATGTGACATTCAGTCTACAGGCCCTAATATTTTTAGATTGTTTTGACTCGCACTGAAACAAGAATGGCATGCTTTTCAATTAGCTGATTCGTTATTTGCTTGATTTCGATGTCTAATGTCTGGATACCGACTTAAAATTTCGGTCTAGGGCCAAAAATCGGAAGAAGTTGCTGATGAGATGCGCCCGCAAGCTAAGTTAATGAGCTGATGATGATTTTCAAAGGCGGCTCATCCTAAATATCGTTTACGAGTCGGATTCCCAGCGTTCTCTTTCATCTTTTACGTTGTACCTATTACACATTTTTCAATTTTCGATCTATAATATTCACTATGCACTTTCCTTCCCATTAGGAACTCCAGAAGTTTATCAAATCAAGTTAAAATCTAGAAACTAGTTCAAAAATACTTAGATTACCCTCAAACTTTGGTAAATCTTAGATATTTGATTGTTATCGATTTTAAATTAATGGATTCAAGCTTTTGAAAGTAGTTGCAAGACATTGCTACCTCCAAACGTGTCAATGTTTTGACTATTTTAATCAAAATAATTAAGCATTAATTAATAGGTTGCTCGGTTTCATTTCAGAAGCAAACTAATGATGTTGAACTAAATATTTCTGTTATCAAATATTTTAGTAAATTTCATCAACATTCTAGTTAATGTAGAGTCATCACAAAGAATTTATCTTTGAAATCTTTTGTACTTTTCTAAGTTTTGAATGACTTGTAATAATATTATTTTGAATTCATTTGAAACAATGTTAAATATTTACCACATCTTTTATCAGTGTTTCATGTCGGTATACTATACGAGTATGATGAACTTACACTTGTTAGCAAATCGTTTCATTTTGCAATCGAATAATAAACAAAGTATTTTGTATTGAAATAAATATTCAAATTTGAAAATAACCGACTGTCTGCAACCAACCTGCCGCGTGATTGTGTATTTGTTCAAATTATCCACATGGTTTTGCACGAACTTCAGATATTTTAAGTGAAATTCAGAAATTGCCAAAACCTACAAATTGCTCTTTTGTAATCGACAATATGTCTCACTTATATTGACAACAAGAAATTTACATATTTTGCCAACAAAACGAAGCATTTTTTTTGAATTTTGAATAACATTCGAGGAATATTATTGAATCGTCTTGTAAAGGTGTTGATGCCACATTACCTAGCTACTTATGGTACCTACTTAAGCTAGCTTTTAATTACTGAATACCACTTTCACTCAACACAAAATTTAAATCATAAAATTAAGGGATGATAGTGATACAAATCTACATTCTACCTTCTAAGTGTAATAATAAAATATTTTATATTAAGTTTTACTTATTACAGACACACTTAAGACTTTTATGAGTAATTTTATACTGAGTGATATCAGAAGACGTTTTATGGATTTAATTTGCTTTCCAAGAACCAAATTTAATTATTTATTAAAAATTCTATAACACTACGTATAAATATTTTATGTCCTCTTGTAAAATTTAACACGTCACTAATAACATTAATTTTCCTTACCTACTACCTACTTCTTTCTTCCTTCAGATATCAAGAGTTTACAATGCGACTAATTGCTGCACTCATGTGTCGAGCAAATCGACCATCTCCATGACATGACAATGTCACAATGTTTCGTTTCATTCATTAACTTAAACCGAGCTAGACGGAACATCAAAGATAAAATAAAGCAAACATTAAGCGAGGACGGGCATCATGTGAAAATGTAACATTCATTTAAGTACAATTTCAATTAAATGCGACTCTTCGTACTCTTCGTTTAGAGTCTTCTAATTATTTTCTTCAGTCCGTAATGTAGTGCATAGTTTCTGGAGGAATGTTAAATCGTTGTCGGCGTTGTCACGCTGCATGCGCCCCACAAGCTATAAACTGTGACTTATTACGATGGGCTGTAAATTAAACTTGTAACAACAATTAGGAATTATTATGATGTGGAATGATGTGATGTGATGTTAAAGTGTTGTGAGAGATGAGTGGGTACGAATTTAATTATATTTTTTTATTATGCATGTATTATATTTTAACTTATTTTTCAAAAATTAAAATTTGTTTTATTTTTACAGATGGGACATGTCTGAATGTAGAAAATTAATGTGAATATTATCAAAGCATCTGAAGTATATGATTTTTGCCAACATGAGATTCTTATCGATTCAATTTTTCAAAGATTGCTTAGTCTAAATTAAATTGTCACCACAGGGTGACTGCCATATGTCACAAGTCACAACCCTCACAAAAATTTAGCAAAACGCGTGCTGTCGCGCGTGTGGTTTGTTATTATCTATCAGATATCATTATTCCTTTACCCAAATGTTCAAAAATCGGCCACATTTGTTTTGTATCTCACAGTATGCCACAAAATTGACATTAGGACATCAGATTTGACCACATACTGACCACCTAGTTACTGCCACTGACCACATACTGATTGCTTTAAATTGAAGGATGTAAAAGATTTGAAAGTTCCTCATTGATATTGTGCGTGTGTCATTTATGTCATTTATGTCATTTTCGGTGGTAAGTTAACATCTCAACCTCCAACGTTAGTTGTGGGTGGTTTTGCAATAGATACTCAAAATGTTTACTTCTTAAACCTGAAACTAAGCGTATTTAATTTTGTAAAAATTGTTTGGTCATCACTGGTCTCATTCTGTGTGCAAAAATGCCACTGGTGTGGTCTAATGTGCCCCGGTGGGTTTATTGGTATGGGCTCTTCGGGGAGTGATACAAGCCAACAATGCCTGACCGCAGCCTGGCCACAAAGTCTCTGTTTACTTCGGTCATTATTAGGTACACTATTTGTATACACTCATTGCTTTGTGGGCCGCATTTTAAGGGACGCCCATTATCCTCGATTCGTATTGTACCTATCAGTTTTTAATGTAGCTGCTCTGTCACATCAAAAAATGCAGCAGACTCATGCCACTGACTTGACAATAGTGATATTGACTTCAAAATTTTCTAAATTTAAAATCGCCGAATCGGAAATTGAAATACAGTTATAATTTTACACCTTGCTACGAGTATCGTTCAATTGCAGAAAGCATTGTGGTTGATTGGGTTTATTTTCGGATGTTGGCGCGTTTGCTCTTGTTTTCATCCCGTCGGCGTTCTTCATGCGTGCGCGCGCCTTATAATTTCGTAGCCGATATTAAAAAGTTTATTGGTTTTATCCGGCGCCGTACGCGTCCGGCACACGCACACCGCTTGTACGTGCGACCAGGTAATATAAATCAATGAGAACCGGACTAAACGCATTTTTACAGGCACGTATCAATACTATTTTCAACCAATTAACGCAAAAATAAAGCAAGTTTAAGAAAAAATCAAAATTTCTTCAGAAAATTTTAAATTAAAAAATGTTTTCAAGACTTTTTAAAATGTTTGACGCCATATCTGTAAATTTAAAATTACAGAGCTAAAATCAGAATGGGACATCCAGTCTACAGGCCCTAATATTTTTAGATTGTTTTGACTCGTGAAACAAGAAACAATTAAAGAATGGCACGCATTTCAATTAGTTATTTGCTTGATTTCGATGGATACACTTTTACTGGCTTAAAATTTCGGTCTAGGGCCAAAAATCGGAAGAAGTTGCTGATGAGATGCGCCCGCAAGCTAAGTTAATGAGCTGATGATGATTTTCAAAGGCGGTTCATCCTATATATCGTTTACGAGTCGGATTCCCAGCGTTCTCTTTCATCTTTTACGTTGTACCTATTACACATTTTTCAATTTTCGATCTATAATATTCACTATGTACTTTCCTTCCCATTAAGAACTCCAGAAGTTTATCAAATCAAGTTAAAATCTAAAAACTAGTTCAAAAATACGTAGATTATCCTCAAACTTTGGTAAATCTTAGATATTTGATTGTTATCGATTTTAAATTAATGGATTCAAGCTTTTGAAAGTAGTTGCAAGACATTGCTACCTCCAAACGTGTCAATGTTTTGACTATTTTAATCAAAATAATTAAGCATTAATTAATAGGTTGCTCGGTTTCATTTCAGAAGCAAACTAATGATGTTGAACTAAATATTTCTGTTATCAAATATTTTAGTAAATTTCATCAACATTCTAGTTAATGTAGAGTCATCACAAAGAATTTATCTTTGAAATCTTTTTGTACTTTTCTAAGTTTTGAATGACTTGTCAGAATATTATTTTGAATTCATTGGAAACAATGTTAAATATTTACCACATCTTTTATCAGTGTTTCATGTCGGTATACTATACGAGTATGATGAACTTACACTTGTTAGCAAATCGTTTCATTTTGCATTCGAATAATAAACAAAGTATTTTGTTTTGAAATAAATATTAAAATTTGAAAATAACCGACTGTCTGCAACCAACCTGCCGCGTCCGCGCGCGCAGGACTGCCCCGCGCGCATGACCGGCAGTGACTACGAGCGCCCGCGCGAGCTGCACTTGTAACCTGCACTTATAGTGAAAAATGGAGTGGCCGCGTGGTGCAGATTAAAAATGTAAAAGTGCAAAAACCATAAATTAAACGTGAAAAAAAAGTGTAAGTAGCAACAATAGTATAAGCATCACGTCGCTAAACATTGGTAGGTACTGTTGAGCCCATTTTATTCGTAATATCCTATTTTTAATGTCCTTGAACCGTTCTGTAACGTATTCCCTGTGTGTCGTTTGAGTTTCCGTGAATTCGCCATTTTGATTTAATGATTACGTTGATTTAATAAATCTTCACAGGCTTATAAATATTCGACACACGGCTTCAATTCGTCGTGGTGTCTGTATTAACACCCTCGTGGGGCTATAATCGACGGGACGTCGCCGCATAAATCTACAAGCATCAAAACTGACCGCGTAGCCACACAAAGTGTTAAATTGGGAGCACAAACAAAGCAACACGACACCGCACTCATGGAGAACTCATCGGCGACGCAACAAAATGAAGAAAACGATCAACAGTTGCGGCAGTCCAGCGACACTCAATCTCATCATTTGAAGCAAACTATTGGTGATTTTCTGTGGCGGCTTTTACCATATTACAGATAGTCATAATTTGGTTGTAATCCGGTATAGATTACGCTGCTACCTGCTTACTCTCGAATAACCTTTGGCGGGCGCCGATAAATGGTCTACGAGTGATTCTTCAGCGGTTTTAAGGTAAATTATCTCACTTTGCGGGTTTATTACTCCCCGAACCGATAACAAATAAAGAGGTAAGGGCCCAACCGTTGTATCAACGGTGGCTGAGTAGTTGTTTCCGTCTTTGATAACAAAAATAACGCTCTGAAGGAAATTACATGTGCGAACCACATTGTAACACAAACTTTCGGTATATCTGGTTCTGCAGGCTGATTTAAAGCAGTTAATTTTTACACTCACGGAAGACGAGTTTACGAATGTAATAAACAGCGAATAAAATCAATCAAAGGTGATATTTTAAACACTTGCGCTCGATGCACGCACCCAGTGTGACGCTTAGCAATTACACGCGTGTGCAGACCTTCTTAAGAAGTCGCTGCAATTGAAAAATGAGAAAACTCGTATGCCGCGCGCAGAAATCCCCTGTAATAAGTTGTAGACCTGTCGATGGTACCCTGGTAAGAACGCAGATATCGCGTGATGACGACGAATATGTTAGCGCAAAAGATTCATAATTCATCATGGTAATAATTTGGTATTTAATTCTGACCTAAATAAAAAGAAATATCAGGTATTTTAATTAAATCAACATATTTATAGACTCTCAGAGTTTTGATAAGTTGATAACGCCAATTACAAGAATTTCGCTTGTTATGTAAAACATTCGGAGATCTTTGTGTTGTGATTTAAATTTGGAGCCTCTTTGTGTGTGGCATTCGAGTCAAATAAACTTGTACGCGTCAACGAATCGCATCGATCATCTTTATGCATTCATCGGGCCTTCGATTCTCTTCTATGACCGTCATGGAATGAAAATCACCAAATGCAGCGTACCAGCGTATTCAAACGACTGGTAGGATCTCCTCGTAAGTATGTACTGGATGTGAAATCATGAATACTGAATATACTGCTGAATATAGGTTCTAAGATCGGATCACTGAATGCAATTCGACTGAAGCCGGATCTTTTGCATAACATGTCAATCAAGTGCATTCAAAATACTCTACCGGGACTTAGGACGACTTGAACGCTGACTTAAATTTCGAATGAGAAGGTTTGGAAATTCTGACGTGCGTTCGGAATGTGCACTGGAGAGGACTTTTTCTCACAACGTCCCAACAAATCAGGTAGATATTTTTTGCTGATTACAGGGAAACATCGACGACGACAATCAACAACTCGATTATGGCATTATCTGCATGATGCAACCAGAACGAAGGAGAAATGGTCTCGTATCGGGTCTTCAGTATCATCCTAGCAACTTAGAAGAGAGATAAATCAACGAGTTTCAACTTATCATCGAGCTCCAACTGATGAAGACATTAAAATATCATCAATTTATATTCTGCACATTTTTGGTGTAAGTTACGGTGAAAGTACTATGGGAAATGTATACATTTTCAACTACATTTGGTAAATTTGGTAAATTTCATCGGTAAAAGCTCCTGGAACGTATATTTACACGTACTTATGTATACCTTCGTATGTATAGTTACTTGGTCAGACCAAGTTTCTTGTGCGGTGAGACAATGACAAACAATCTTTTTTTCAAAGATTGATCTCTGGATGATACGATTTCGGCATGTTTTGGATGGATGAAGCGTGAAACACGACTGGACCGGTATCCAGTGAACCATGGCTTTCTCAAAAATTGCCCCTTTTCGTTTTTATTCGGTACACGCACCCCTTTAACTCTCTAAACAACTAAAATAGTTCAGAACACAAGAACAATGATTATTAATAGTCAAGTATTGATTATTAGCTAAAGATTTTAAAGTATTAAATATTTAAAGGGGTTGTTACGGTCCGTTAGTGTCGCCGTTGTAAATCTTGCGCACCAGACGTCTATAGCATCTATTTAAGGGTAGTCTGGCGTCTCACCCTCAGCGCCCTTGGGTGTTTCGCGGCAAGTTTCTGTTTGATAAACTCAGAAATCATGCTAATCAACCCTTAACTTATAAAGTATAAATAATCGATTACACTAACCTAAATATTTCATCCCCGAAAAATGCGGTTTATGTATAAAGGCTTAAGTTGCCACATGAGTAGATATAAAATCGATTCCTTTTTCTTGTGTGCCTCGCACGTAGCTAAACGTAGCTGCGAGGAGTAAAGAGTAAAATGAGCGAAGCATGACCTACAAGGTCGACGCGCGTGTCTCGCCGGCGATCGCTGCTTTTTTTGTCGTCTGCGGTTTCTTATTGCTATGGTGGCGAGGTATGAGATGTGGAGATCGGGATCTGGATCATTTTCAAGAAGCTAAAAGCTTCAGCTCTTCGAAATTACTACGTGCGCGTGCAAAAACTACTCGAACTTATCATGTGGGTATGAAAATAATACCGGAGACAAAACAGTAAAAAATAATGCAGAATGCGTTGCTGAAATTTCCTGCAAGCGACAAAAAGTGACATCACTTTCACACGAAGACGAACATAAAATTGACGCCAAATTGAAGTCTGCATTGTACTTCTCAAGTTTTATTCTCGCAATTTTATTGTCGCATTATGTCAAATACAAAAACATGTTTTTGTTGCCTTATGCAACAAGAAATATAATATATAATTTCCTGTCGGATACTTTGGTCAGAGATAAGAGAAATCTATTGCTTCTGTCGTAAACAAATTGTTAACAAGGTCCTAATTGGCGACTGCCGTTTGTAGTTGCGACCTTTTGTCTTTAAATCTTTAAAAATTTTACTTCGATCAAAAGCGCTACTTTGGTATTTCCAAATTGGGGCGGATTTTTTATCGCGATCGGCATTTTTCAGGGGATGAAAAGCCTTTTTCTAGTCATGCCAATCATTATTTTTTATACGCGACTTTTAGTGCCGCTATCGAAATGCATCTCGGAAAAATTTGTACCGGAATCAGTAGCAATTTATATCAGTCTTAAAAAACCGTCGGAGGAGTTAAAAAACAAGTTTTACTTACTATTATACAAAAGCGGTTAATTGCACCACTAACGGAGACACGTTTCCACCACCTTCAGTTATTTTATTATCATTTGATAAATCTAGAGAGCTAGAAAATAGAATTTTAGCCTAAAATATAAAAACAATTGATCTAGTTAGAGAATTTTTACTATGCTAGGTCTCTATAAATCTTGATTCAAAATGGAAGGACATTTTTTTATTAGAGACTTAGTTATGTTTTTATTAAATGAGGGCCACCCATTTCGAAATGGTCTCAGTTTTCGCTATCTCTAATTGGGTGCGACACGTTGGAAGAGCTTTCAAGTGCTTTGAGCAGTTGCGGCCGCTCTGAGACATCTCAAAGGGCAAAGTAAAACTAGAAGCGATAAGTGGTTGCCGGTACAATTTGTACATAGTCTTAAAAATGTCTGAAAATCAAAAAAATGTCAAAGGTTTTCGGGTTATCTCTACAAGGATCATTACGCAATGCCGGTAGACATGAGAAGCAATATCAAAATCGTTTTGTTAGTCTATCTTCGAGCAAAACGAAAAGATTTGCCAAGATAACTTTGTTCAAGATATTCCTGAGGCAAGAAACTAAGAACATTTGAGTATTTGAGTATGCGTGATAAGAAACTAGGAAGTTCGTAGCTCTCCTGACTAAATCTCCCCAATTGTCCCCTCGCACCACCAAGTGCAAGACAATATTCGCGTCGGGTTGCAGCGGAAGAGACTAACAATAAGCAGAATGCTGTTTGTTCCAGACGCGTTTCCATCCGAAGCCGTCGGTTTCCTCCCACTTCCTATAATGTGCACTGCCCCGAATGCAATGCATGGAAGTAAAAACCGGGAGCGAAGCAACAAGCGTGTGCAGCCTTGTTTCGGTGGGCGCGACGCGCATCACTCGCGTGCCTGGCTCATTTTACACAAAGGCGTTGTTTAAGGACAATGCGCGCTGCCGATTACCGAAACAAACGCCGCACACCTTGAACCCTCTTTAAGCAGTTATGATATTCGTGATCTTTGCATTGTTGCACCCCAAATGAATCTTTAACATTCAAAATTAGTAGTTTGAGCGAATCAAAAAATCAAAAATTTACGTTTTACTGCGCTTTCTGGCAGCTGGAGCTCATCACCATTAAGAGCATTCCAGTTTTTTGAGTAAATGAAATTAGTGAAGTGGAGACTTAGTGTTGTTAATTGTTTGGGCGAGAAGGTATTTTTATGAGTTCCCATTCTTTGGGAGTTAAGTCGCGACACTCCCGTGGCAAAACCGACGTTTTAATCAAAGTGCAATTTTAATTGTGCTATATCAATTAGTGCAATTATGCAGGGACACACAGCGCGTATTTTTTATATTGCATACCTGTAGAACTTTCCAATTGGAAATAGTTTTAATGACACTCGTAATCTATTCAAAAATTTATCAATACAAATCTAATTAAAAAAAAAACGCATAAAATTAGAATCATTAATAGCGTATTTATGCTTGAAGTGATCCAGACACACGTGGTATGAGTAGCATTCGTAGAAAGACCAGGGGCCAACAGGGGCAGGTGTGTGTATTGCTTATAATCTACATGCACCATAGCGCAAGCAACATTTGTAATAGCCGGTCATAACTACGAAATGGCGACGTGTGCGCGCACATGCAGCACGCGCCTAATCTCACCCTGCACGTGCACGTGCGCGACCAACAACCGCCCAACCAGAACCGGCACCACCACGCTACATTTACATAACACCTTGTCAGTCAGGAACAACGAACAACAACCAAAGAGGGGGTTGAACGGTTAATAAACGGACCGAAGTAGCAATCATTAAAAAAGTCCAACCGCCAAAAATACCAATCAAACCTGAAATAATTAACAAAAAAACGCAAAAGAAAAACATAAAATAATTTTTATGATTTTGTTTATTTCGATCATCTAGATCGGCGTTGTTTATTTACAATTCGAATAAAATTATAAGTACGAGTCAAAGTTAAGACTTAAAAGACAGACTTAAGACTAAGTAATCTTAAGAGTAGGTATAGCAGTAAAACGAACTATATCAGTACGAGAACATAAAAAAATAAGTAAGAAAAGTTTTGATTTTTAGCAAAAATAGGTTTATATTCTTCAAAGAACGCAAAACGCGTGAGGAAGTTGCATTTTTAAACACTAATCAGTAACAATATTTACACGATATTTACACAATAAACAGTTGACTAGATTCATAACAATTTAACAATCGTAAAGGCACTTTGTACGTTTTCAGTGGAGATTCAATGATGAGATTCTGGTTGTTGTATCATTTGAGATTCTGCAACACAAAAAATGAAATTTTATTAGAAATGAAATAAATCCACACAAAAAAAACTTGTCATAAAACACGTTGAGAGTCGCGGGGACTTGAATTGTTGAGATAGGATAGAAATTAGAACGAGTTATGATACAGAAATTGTTGACCTCAAAGTAAGCGAGCTTTTTATTAGCGTAGGTTGCCGCGGAATCGTTTAATTATCTTCGCGTGCAGACAGTCTAGACAAAATTCAAAAAGAAGGAAAAAGCTGCTCAAACTTGTATCCTGTGCTTGTTTTTTCTGAGCTTTCTGAAAGCGCTTTTTTTCTCTGAGTGCACTTTTTGAAATGCAGACAGTATTGTTTGAGCTTGCATCTTAAGAAACTAGTCCGAGTCGCGAGACCCCCTCGCGTAAAGTCCATTCAGCCGCGAACACAAAAAAAACTCACCCTCCAGGGGTGAACGTATGTGAAAAGGAAATGAAACCAGGTAGACGACGAAAAAATAAAACACGTCTCGTACGCGTACGGCAGGTATTTTTCATGGGGTGCAAAAAAATTAACGATTTTTGATCGAAAAAAAGTACTAACCTTATTCGTTTTGCCAACTGAAGATCACATCGAGGAGTTCCTCATCGTCAGCATTGTTAGGATCATAGTTTTCGTTGGCGTAATCTTGCGAATTGTTGAAGCTGTGCACCGAGTGATTGGTGAAGCTTTCGGAAGTTTGCGACGGTGTGGGAGATGTCGATGCTTCGCTGCAGGACGGTGTCGGTAACAAAATCGGGTAAGAAAACTGGCTGTTGTTCATTCCGTTTGGACTCATCGAGTAGTAACTGCTGTTATCAGCGTGATTGTTATCACTACCCGCATTAGATGCAAGTTCCATATCGTGATCTTCGATGGTCCTCTGTAGACTGCGGATATATTCGACAGCCATGCGTAGCGTATCAACTTTTGAGAGTTTTTATTGGCTCCACGACCTGCAGCACCACCCTGTGGGCTAAGGGTTGCGCAGACGGTTTCGGGAATATGTTGCCTAAGAGTGGCGAATCCGTTGTTCACTTGTTTCACACGATTACGTTCGCGGGCGTTCCTCCTCGCTACCGAGGCGGGTTGTTGTGGAGCTCCCACATGAGGGATGAATTGAATTTTGCGCTTGCAACGCAAATGATCACCGTTGCTATTCACTAAAACCGATGAACGTTCCGGAGCGGGTGCAAGCGGACGTTTTCCTTGAATCACCGACTTGGTGTTGGTCAAATGTGGTTGACTGCCGGAGACAATCACGCAGTTGCCCGGTGATGGGGTGTGCTGCTGATGAGTGGCGAAAATGTTGTACATGTTGCTTTGATGCCCGAGTGTCATCGCCATGAAGCACGATCGAATTAGAATTAATAGCACGAACTGACTTAAGATAAGTCACAAACACTTAGGGGGACTCACGACGCGTGCGAAAAAGCTTGAGCTTGATGTGGTAAGCGCGAGAGCGTAGGACGGTGTGTGCCGGTTGTGGCGCACTGCGCGCTTTTTATCCGGCGCTCCCCCACTCTGATGGTGTGTAGTGGTAAAGGCAGCTTACGGCTTACCCTTCGTGTGAGGAGGGTAAGCGCGTGCCATAGACGTGAGACGCATGGCAAAGCGCGCCGAATGCGAGTCCCTTCCACCCGCTGCCGCGGCGCGAACGGCACCTTCAAAGGTATTGCTGGTACCCTACCTAACCTATGGTACCAATGGACGGTTTTGTGCTCAGTGCGGATGGTACGTTCGTTCGGTGCGGACGCACCGCGCTACGAACTTCGCATAAATCACGAGATGCGTGAAAACTTAAAATATCACCCCTTAATTTTCAACATCTTGGACTTTACCCTTGCATGTAACGTACTTTTGCAGAATTAATTGATAAATATTAATTATTTCACAAAAATATGCGACTGGTTTGAATCGTGCAGAAACATTATAGTTTAACTATAAATTTATACATTTAAAACCAAAATATGACTAAAACTGGTGTTGCTTGAGGGTGCTAGGTTGGTGGTGCGCCCTACCGACAACTTGTTGAACATTCCCTTGAATGTGTACGTGAATAAAATATCCGGTAGGGTAGGTTATCAATGGTGAGGGTAAAATCGTAGGTCGTCGTTTTGTGTGGCTCGAACCGCACCCCTAGTCTTTGGAATACTGGATTTTATACCTGTGCGAGCTGTAAAAATGCTTTTGAGGGTGAACTAGTTTCCAGGTTGATTTTCGACGAGTTGCAAGCAAACGTGTTGCAGGCGCACACACGTGTGTGTCTAGCTTTTAATTGTCAATCTTTTTTTTATATTTTTTAACTTTGATTTTCGTACATCTAGCGAAAACTAAACATAATTATCAAAAGCTTGCAATTAAAATCGAATTAGACATCGTATTTGGAGCTATTTTCGGTATAATTGAATGTTTTCGACTTTTACCTAGTTTTATGAATGAATTTTTCGCAAAAAGCAATGCGATGTGCCACGCTTACGCCGAAAACTGAATACCCTGAGGGTGTAAGCGTTGAAAAACCTAGTGGTCAATCACGCAACGAAAACGCAAACCGAACGTCAATCTTTACAAAACACTTCGGAACCAATTTGAACAACTATTAAGCGTGCCTCGCATTTTTTGCCACATTTTCACAAATTTCGCGTTTGCGAATCTGTGAGAACAAACACTCCAAGTGTGCGCCTGACGGTCGGCCGTGCCGTGCAGTATTTTTTGTTTTTTTGATGCTCGACCACACGACCTAATTATGGGCAATTAAGCGCCGCACGTCGTCCGGTATTGTTTCTGCCGTCGGCCGAAAATTATTATAATTTCGTGTCTGTTATCGTCGTGTACAACACACACACACGCGCGCGTCGGTAGCATCTCGCGGCGAGGTTATTTTTATAATTCGTTTTTCTTAGCGACCAACACACGTTTTTACTTGCACTTATTATCTGCAGTCATTACACTGTCGTTACTCGAAAAGAGTAAGAGTAAAGCAATTACGTTTTATTATTACACACGAAAAATATTGTACGAAACAATATAAAATACAATTTATTATCTCAATGGGCAGCTAGCGCAAATAAATTCAATTATGAATTGTTTGTATGACTTTGCATGAATTGCATAAATCGCTTGTGATAGCTTAATCGGCGCACCGCGATAAAATCGGCGCCTCTGACTGACAATTTCATTAATACGACACACGCGAAGAAGACGCTTTCATGCATCAACTTTACAGCTACACTACCAAATCCTGTTTTCGTCTGTAAGACGACGGGCTTTTAATTAACTCGCGATGATCTCGTTCTTCGTTCCGATTGTTGCATCTCGCGGTGAAATTCGAATTCGGAAAATTCTCTTTGATGTAGAGCTCGCGTAAGACGTCGATACTTTAATCGCTGAGCTTACGGTCCACAACTTTCCATCATAATCGTAATTTACGACTTGCGCGCGCGCACACTCCCCATAATGAAATTTATATTTATTTATGCATGAAAATCGCAAACAAAATTCGCCGAAGTATGACATTCGTCTTACCCCAACCTTAAACATTTTCGGGAGTGAGGGCCTTTGCTAATTACTAAATAAACGCAGATTAAGTAATTATCGATCGTAAAATGCAAAGTGGTTGCGCGGATTTTATTTAGTGGCACATTAGATGAATGGCTATTACTTTGGGTGGCTACTTAAGATGCGTCTATAAAAATAAACGATGATTGCTTAAATGTAAATTCGCTCTAAAATGTTTCGCACATTATTTAATATGTAGTACCTTGCACTTGCACTTGTTAGAGTCGTTGGGGCATCATTGGCCGCATCAACAAAACGCTACATCAAGTTGGCGCGCGCGTGCGAATAAGAAGAAGTTGGTATGAGTGGTCACAGCCTGAAGGAGAGTGTCTGTGGCGTGTTCGTCGTCCAGCGGGTACGCATGCGCTCAGAATACTAATTTAACTAATTGGATGCAGTAATAATGATCGCTGGTTTGATCGGCATCTACTCAAAGAATTCGTACTGGACGAGAGATAAAAGTTCAAATATTTATATGATTTTTTGTTGCATTTGCTGATTTTATATCTCGCACCATAAATGGGTATACCTACGATGTCTTTTATTGTAGTTTTATTTCAAACGGTAGCGCTGACATGCATGGCTCGTTGCCCAAAGCTCCAGTCATGGAATGTTAAAGACTTCAATGCAAAATCAAAACACGCAACATCCGATGTTTTCAGTAGCCATTAAAAATAGAATTATTTGCATATAACAACTTGACGCCGACTGGCGGAATTGTTAGATTATGTTAGGTTTTGATTTATTTTTGCGCGTTTAAAGCTTTAATTGAGTTATACAATAATTATTAATTATATATTAATGAAGCTTCAAGTAAAAAGTTGCGTTAGTGAGTCGGAGAGTAACAGTTCATCGCATATCTTTATAATGATAATTTTAATGCGCAGCCAAATATAGTCGCCTTATTAATGCACCCGGTTTGCTCCAATATTCGATGTTGTGTCCTTTTTCATTACTAATTATGATCGCATCGAATGCTTATAATTGAAATTTATTGAATGCATTACGCTACGCCGCGGTGTGCGTAACGTGTTTATAGATAAAAATGGTTTCATTAATTTCATTAAAAAATTTAAAAGGTGAGCTGAACAGAAATAATTAGGTATAACTAGTTTTACTACTCTTACCATTACTGAATCGAATATTGAATGGTAGCAAGAAAAATCTAGAAAGTCATAAATGAGCGGATTTTTATTCAATTGAAACGAAATAAATTATTTTTATACTTTAGTATATTTCCCGATCGACTAAATGACTAAGTAATAAGTATAGATTAAATGAAAAGACGAAAAACAAAATGAAATGCCCCAATGATTGCCGCACTTATATGATCACAGATCACCAGCAAACCGCGTAATGTTTTAACACCTAGCCGCGCGTAATTGCCGTGATTATATTTTCGACGATGCATCTTGATGCATTATGATACACACTCGGAGAACGGGCACGTTTTAAACCCTCTCAAATCTTCGACATTTACATGGCTGAAGATGTGCAATGGTACTGTTATTAATCATCAAAATCACCGATGTTTCAACGTTTTTCTCGCCTTGTTAACGAAAACTTTGGTAACCACGCCGTCCAAATCGACAACGATTTCAATAAGCCGTTATTACGTAATAAGAACCAATATTATTCTCAATTATATCTACGAGTATCCACAAAACACTTTGTTGAAATTCTAAAAATTCTCTAAGTGTTATGTAAATTCGAAATTGATTTACCGTAGTCGAAAAACGTTTAGAATTTTTTTATTTTTTATTATTTTGGTTATTTTGGTTTGTGTATAAAAGCTCGAAACATATTAGTAATGATCGTAATAAGACGAAGATGTACCCACTCGTAATTAATCAAGTGGCGATTAGGTTCTGCTTCCCTCAGCAGTCCTGAGAAAGCATGTGCTGTCAGAAGCGGTGCTAATGTGAAAAATGAAAAATGAACTTCGTTTCCATTCACCCCGAGAGTGTTAGATTTGTTAGGAATAACTGTAAACTGGGTCGTCAATAAAAAAGCTAAGTTCATATTAAGAATAATATTGCCACGTGCCTTTCAGTATATTTTTTCTTGTAATGACTTAACAGAAATAATATTAATTCAGTGAAGTTTTGGACGCATCAAATCAATAGATTCAAATGACCAAACTTAGTCTGATGCACGCATAATAAATAAAGGCTAATCAGATTTCTATAAATACATTGGTCATATCACCTGACCACATCCACAGGGTAGAAAATGCATTAAGATTAATTCAGAAACTTGGGCTGTTTCTTCTTAGATTTTGTGTGATTCTAGTTTAATTGGATGTGTTTCCACCCTTTTCGAAGTTGATTTAGATTATTTAGATCACGATTACGTTACACAAGCTTTTGTATAAATTCAAACTATTTTTCTGTTTACACAAATTTCAAATATTTTGACCTTTAATTAAAAACGATCATGATTGAAATGATTTACATGCCATTGTTTCAAACCTTGAGTATTTTACGTCTTACTTATGTCGTTCAAATTGATTTGACTAAACTGCCTCAAACTGTCTTAAAGTACTTCGGCAAGCATCTGATTTGCATTCAACGTTGACGTAGGTCCAACTTGAAATGCGAAATTCGACATCGAGGCGTTATTTACAACACTCGCTCGGCGATATTTTCATTTTACCGCATTACCGGATGGATTCATCAATCAATCGACTTTCGGTCAATGCAAATGCCGTCGGTATGCAAATGCTCGCGACTCGCATTCGAATACTGAACGTGAAACAAAAACAAAAAAACAAGAACGATGCAGCCGAAGAAACGACGTCCGGTCATCAGGAACCCGAAATATCTGCGTCGTTTGCAGTCTCCACGATGCACAAACCAAAAGGGCATCAATTAAAGGCAATTACCAGCGCGCATATCCTCCATCTGATTACCAGCATTAAAC